CATCACATCTCTGTTATTTGAGGTATGTGAGGTCGACTTCGAGATCTAGGAAGTCGACTCGTGGATATATGAGGATTCGGAGGCTACGCTAGGTTTAACCATGTAGTGAAGTCGTCTTCAGAGAGTCGTCATCATCTAAGTCGACTAGTGGAAGTCGACCTAGATTGTCTGAATGCTTGGGAGTTATGCTCTTGATGTTTTTCTTCCATTGATGCCCAGGTCGATAGAGGGAAGTCGACTTGGTAGATTCGACTAGACCGATTTCTGCTTCTCCTCGGTTGCTCTCGGTAGGATCGACTCTAGGGAAGTCGATTAATCATGCCGACGGAGTCATGTCGACGTGCGAGTCGTTCGAGTGGCTCGCCGGTCGAGTAAGAAGCTTCTAGACCGGGTTATCCTTATGTGGCTATATCACCAGGAGGCATTTAAAGTCATTAGGATTCATTTAATTTATCTGGAATAGCTAAATGAATGAATGGCGTGACTTTAAAAAATGGTAGAAACGATATCGACACACAGAGATAACTAAGGAGGAATAATGAAAAACACCATACACAACGATACATTGACAGGCGAACAACGTAAAATAACGAGAAGTCAAAAAATTCAACATGAGTGATATTCATTTAACGTAAAAGGAGTACAATGTTCTGCGAAAATTAAATTACAATTCTATGAGCATTGGGGTCATCGGAGGATTGCTCTGGTGGCGGCTCGAGTTGCTGCCTCACAGGCTCAGTCGGCTGGCTCGAACTAGAGGTCGACCCCGCTCCATCGGTGGCCTGAAATTGTCGAGCTGGAGGAGGAATGTAGCCGTCAGGGAGTTTGAAAGTGCGCTTCAGCAGGTCGTCCTGATCCACGACGAGCTCGAGCAGGCCTGACCACCAGTCGTGGTCGTCGGGCAGGTCGGGGGCACTTTGATAGCCGATGGGAGCCTTGGGCATAGCATCCCAGATGGCCTCCATGTTGAACTCCTCGAACCCGTCCTCGGCTACCTGGGCCCCTGCCTGCTGCATGATGGCCCCAAAGCAATGGGTGCCGTAATCTTGCACATCCTTTAAGTATTGGGGTGACTGCTTGAAAGCAGCCACCACTTGCTCACGGTAAGCTTGTAGGAAGCGCCGACCGACGGTCGTGTTGCCGAGCCCGAAGGGCAGCCTCATCGACTAAGGGCTTAGCTCTCTGCTCGAAGGCGACATTTTCGCAGGCCCGAGCTGACTTTTCCTCCTCGAGCGCAGCCTCGAGAGCCTTTTTGGAGGCCAGGAGGGCCTCTTTCTTCGCTCGCTCAGTTGCAAGGGCCTTCTCGAAGGACTTTACGGCCCCCTCGAGCGTCTCATTCTCGGCGGAGAGAGCCTTATTCCGAGCGGCCAATTCCTTCAGCCTCTCGTGAAGGTTATTGGCCTTGACGACCATCTTATCCAGCCGAGTACCGAGCTGGAGATTACTCCGCTCGAGGGCAGAGATAAACCGACCCGGGCTGGCTAACGTTTGCTCGATCAGCGGTGCGAGCTCGACCATGCCCTACAAGGACACATAAGAGAAAGTATTAGAGCACTGACGAGGGAAAGATACGAAATAAAACAAATAAGTAATGGTAGGCTACCTGAGCCAGCCATCGGGCAATTCGATCACCCCGATCTCGAAGGGTGTGATCGTCATTGTAACGATCGGTAGGGTGGTCGACAGAGGGAAGAACATCCCTGAGGTAATTTGAGAACCTCGAACCGTCGAACGAGGTGATCGAGAGGGAGGTCTCCCCAACACGACGCCGTTTGCCGGCAATTTTGGCCCCCTCAGCAGAGGGGCGCTTAAGTGGATTCTCCACAGGCCGAGTCTGCTGCGGAGAAGCGGGAATATGTATAACTATGGCGGTTTGGTCGTGCGGAGGAGAGCGCGGCGGAGGAGACGATGGCGATGGAGAGGACGGCTTCTCGAGCGGTTCTGACTGCTCGATGGGTTGCTCGGTTGGAGATTTGAGCGAAGAGGGTTGCTCGACAGTTGTGCCCGGAGTAGGGGAGGTCGAGCGTATGGATTGGGAGGTGGTCGAGTCAGCGGGCTTGGAGCCTGACCCCTCAGCGACCTGTTTCTTCCTCAACGGAGCCTTCCTCCTGGGCACAGAGATAGCAGACATCTCTGCAAAAAATTCACGCATAAGTTAAAGTCATAAGAGATAAATAATATGTGGAACAAACGTAATGATGTGAATTAAACATGATAATGCTCGAGCTAGTCTGATGACAACACATACCTGGGTCATCCTCTATCCGGATTAGATCGAGGTTTTCTGACTGGGGAGAGGACAGGATTTATGGGTAAGTAGTCCGCATAAATGCAAGAGGTTCTCGTCCTCAAGCAAAGTCTTTGACGCAACGGGTTTGCTGTTCCACACTGCAATCCGTTGGTCGAAGAGGGCGTTAGTGGAAGGTACAGAATACTCGCGAGGTACTTCTTTAAGCCAAGGAGATGACGCCCAGGGGAAAGCAGGTTTAGGCTCGACAAAAGCGAACTTGTCTTTCCACCTGGGGACGTTCGAGGGAGTGTCCGAAATGAAATGGACATCGTTGCGGCTCTTGAGGTAGATCCCCTGAGCATGTTTGGAGGGTGTGTAGCAGTAATGGAAGAAATCTAGGTCGAGTCGGCCTAGACGGATATGGCAGAGGATGATGAAGACGGTAATAAAACGGATGGCGTTAGGAGGAAGTTGGTTTAAGGGCAAGTCAAACCACTTACAGAGGTCGACCAAATCTTGGCTTAAGGGAAAACGGAGGCCAAGTTTAAACTGAATCTCAAAGAAAGTGTAGCAGTTCTGGGGAGGGTTGTCATAGGTGTCTCGAGGGACTGGAGATATGAAAGCCCAGCTGATAGGATAGCCAATCTCTTCGGCATCCAACCAGCCAGCTATGAGAGAACGAGAGGAGGAGGAAGCCTTTTTAGAAGAAGTAGACGCCTTGGTCGACTTACCCTTCTTAAGGTTAGGGGAAGAGGTAGCCCGAGCAAAAACAGAATGGCGAGAAAGGGGAATATTATCTTCGTCCTTCTCAGCAGCGGCTTCAGCGACATCAAGAGCCTCTTCAAAGACATCAGAGGCCCCAAACGCCGGTCGACGGCGATTGAGAGGGATATGGTAAAGGGCATCCTCGTCCGATTCATCAATCAGACGAGTAGGTTGGTGAGGAGGAAAGGTGTGGCATAATCGGAAGGGTGTAGAACACTGATAGGAGCGGGATTGTAGATTTCTTCGACGGAACGGGAAGGCGAGTGAGGAATAGGCCGACGAGCAGAGGGAAATGATGTGGCAATCTCATCTTCGGCAGAATAGTGGCTTGGTGAGTTAGTGTCAGCGGAATCTGAAAAAGTAGAATGAAGAAGTGAGGGGAAGAGAAATGAAGTTAGGGTTTTCGAAAGCGAAGAAGGAGTTTCCTTTTTGCCATAGACGAGATGAAAGGGATTTGGGAAAAAGAAGAAGTAGCAGGAAAAATTGAAAATTGACAAAATAAATGCACGCAAATATAAAATTGAAGCACAGAAGTCTTACTCATGGTTGCAGTAGAGAAGTGGTGGCCGAAAATTACTGGAGAAGACGCCGAGTGCAGGAAAGAGGAATTTGCAGAGAAAGAAATTAGAGTGCAAGGGAGTTCGAAATTGCAAAAGTGAGGAAAGCGGAAAAAGTGGCTAAGTGCCGCATTTATACGAGTACAAATGAATAAGGTGAAGAGTTATGGGATATGACCGTTGGATAAAAGAAGATCTAACGGTGGAAAAAATTAAAGAGGCGCAGATAACGAAGAGACACAAATCGCGAGGAGGCGCGATGATTAAAGGAACTGAACGGAAAGGACATATGGCAGGCGGAGATTATGCTGATAATAAAAGGAAATAAACAACAGTTATAGTGTGCATTAAAATGGACCACGTGGTCGAGGAAAGGCGGCAACATCAACAAAAATGATCGAGAGGAGAGGCCAGGTGCGAGTGGGAGATCGAGAGGATGGACAGAATGAGGAGGACAGCTCGAATCCACTCTTAGATCGAGTCATTCAGACTCGACCAGAGTGGGAGGGACTAGATGATATGAGATATTATATAATTGAGGAATGGACCGGTTTGCATCATCGGTCAAGCAACCTCGAAGTGGAGAAAACCGGATTGGTAGAAGGATGATCGACCAAAAAGAAGGAGATCGAGCAGAATAGCAGTACTGGTCGAGGATCGACCAAGAGGAAGAAGATCGAGCAGAATAGAAGAACTGGTCGAGGATCGACCAAAGGGGAGGAGATCGAGCACTCAACAGGTGAAGAGCAGTCTAGAGCGTGGTGTGAATGCGATAAGACGCGTGGATGACGTTGGGAGATCCCAACGGCCTGCGCAGAGGAATAATCTCCCTCAACTTAGAGGGAAACGTTGCGAGAATTTATTGGTGCAGAGTGATAGTGGCGAAAGCCACCCCTGACATCTCGACGGGCAGTACAGGCAGGACAGCTCACCAAAGACGGGCAGTTTTTAGGGCAGGTATCTCACTCCTATATATATGGGAGTGGGTCTTTTCTTGTGACTTACGATTTATCCATTCTTTACTTTGGAAAATTGAACAAACACATATTGACTTAAGCATCGGAGGCTCTTCACCAGAAAACCCCTCCGGTGTGAGAGTTCTGTGCAGGAACGCGGCGTTCTACCGGCGAGGAAGAAGGAGGCAAGCTGATTTCAAGCCGGTCGGAGTGTTTTGCGTTACCAATAGTAGTTTTTGGGAATTGATAGATAATATATTAGATCTTGAATTGGTATAAGTTTGGTGTAAGTTTCTGATTGTAGTTTCTGTAGTTGAATTGGTGTAAGTTTGGTGCACATTTGTATTCAGTTTCAGTGTATTGCACATTTGGGAAACAGAAGATAATATATTAGATTTTACTTGAATTGATGTTTGATGAGTGTATTGCACTCGCTTACTCAAACCTATTTGGTACGTATGCGGGTTTTCAGTCGTAATTGTACTTTTGCAGATAAACGTGTTGTTGATGTAGGCATGATGGACCAACCTCTTGGTGGTTGGAAAGGTACGTGCAGTTGATATTAGAATGACATAGTAACTTTCTCAACTTTCATCTTGTTTTATTTAATATGTTCTTGAATTTCGTGTAATTTTTCCAGTTACACGCCGTAGTACGTGTTTGGCTGATTCCCAGCCAAACCCTGCAGCAATAAACATCAATCGTATGCCCGAAGGTACACACCTGTAGATTATTCATACTTATACGAGTGGCTTATGCACTGCTCGGTTCAATTATTTCTTGTTGCTATTTTGCATCTAGCAATCAGAAAGGCGATGCACCAAAACATGTCGAAGATTGTGTGAACCGTGGAAAAACAGTCTCGGATTCAGACAATTATGATTTTGTTAATGATGCATTTAATTCGAAATGTGATAAGATTATGGCGTCAGAGAATGATATATTTATTTATGTTTATTATCGTATGTTTCTTGTTATTTTTTCCCGTATACACATGTATAACATTCATCATTGATGTCGTTCAATTATACAATTTTCCTTTCATTTCATCACGTGTTGTTATCATTGCATCAATGAAACGAAAGGTCGATGCACTAAAATGCGTTGATAAATGTGGTAAACGTGAGAAAATAATTAGTCAGTCGGAAAGTGATGATTTCGTTGATGCAGCCCATCAGTTGAAACGTTATAAGAATACGATGACCTGAGACCGTATACTCATTTATATTATTTACGTTATATATGTGTTATTATTCTGCAATATTAGAGTAATGTTTGGTTAATAATGTTCTATTATTACTAGATAATGTAGGAAGTCAGTGGAACAATATCAAATAGGTGCCACCCTTGCTTTAGAAGATGTTGGTGTAGTACTAGTTATTGGCTGTGATGACTGTGGCGCTCTCCCGAGCATCAACACAAGATCTTCAACAACCATTTTTGTGAAGGTTATGTCCGGTCTGACAGAAGATCAGAAGCAGACAATCAGTGATATAGGATTTGACGGTTTGTTGGAGTTGACAATAACAACACCGACAAAAATGGGATATTGGTTGGTTGATAACTTCAACCACATGGATCAAAAGTTGTAACTTTATGATGGGGAAAAGATTCACGTGAAGAAAGATGATGTATACGTTGCACTAGGACTGCCCCATGGAATGACTGAGATCACGAATAAAAAGAAAAAAAAAATTGAGCGAAGTTGTTAAAAGAATGGGTCAAGTTGTATACTGTTAGTAATCCGGCAAACATTACAGCAACAAAAGTGTTCTAATGATTCAAAATTGTGAGGGAAGTGACGACTGATTTAAACGTAATTTTGTCGTCCTTATTATGACCTGTTTATTCGAGAGCACTAAGAATGAGATGGAAAATTAACGTATAATACACCTTCTTGGTGATCTATTGAATATGATGAAGATGAGTTGGTGCTCCTATTTGATTAGTTGTCTGGTGTGCACGAAAAAGTCATGGAATGATAACTGGAGACATAAGAACTTCATAGGGCCGCTGTTATTTCTGACGATAAGTGCATCAGAACCTTCTACATGTTTACCTGAGTTCATATATTATATGTGTTTATTTTGACTGATATATTGTTACCTTTTGGTTTGTGTTTGAATTTTTTTTTTTTTTTTATGTGTGCGATATGCAGCTGTTCTATGTCAACAAGGTGGTGTTATCAATTAAGAGTGTTGCAAGATCATTCCCTATTTTTAAAGCATGGAACAATGACTTATTGAAGGATAGAGAACGAGACAAGATTTTAGTTGGAGCGTTCGAGAGAGGATATGTGGATACAGATTTATGCGTGGAGAGGATATGTGGATGCAGATTTATGCGTGGAGATGCTTCTCACCGGATAGAAATAGAAGTTAACATTTTTTACGGCAACGACACGAAGAGTACATCAGAAATCACTGTACATGTTTATGTTTCCCATTTATGTGTGTTGTATAATTCATAATCATTTATCAGAACATGTTATATGATTTACCATTGTAATTGTTGTGTGGATACGATATATGAATGATCTTCGTTACATGAGCGATGTGTATATGCTTGATATGTAGTGTACTGTTGTTGGTTTGCATCTCATATTTGTTTGTTTTTATCTTTATTGTCAGTTATGTGTCAACTCAATTAGGTGTCAAGTGTTATATGTGACGGATGTTTGGTGCAACCATGAACACACAAATGTGCAATTGGTGTAATAGTATTGTGCAATCAGTTCCAGTTGTGTTTATATATTGCTATATGGATTGGTGTGTACTGAAATGCTTGATAGTCTTGAAGTTCAAACATTTTAATGTTATGTTTTTGTGTTTTATTAAATTTATCAGGCATTTGTCAAGAATTTATAGCGAAAACCCGCACTCTTTCCACGAGCGGTGTGGAGATTTTACGATTTGGTTGAGGGGGTGTCGGAGGATCTATTGGGTGACCATAATTTCATGAAAATGTAAGGTGCGGCATAGAAGCTACTTGGGGTGTGTAATGAGGACTCCAAAGGGGAGGCATGCCAACATATTCCCAGCCAACATGCGACTATCAGTGCTCCAACTCAATCGACGAATGATGCATTCTAAAATAATCCTGAGAACTTAGCTGTCATAGATGCAATTATTGATGTTGTTTCTTGACAAGACCGTTTTAGAAGGATGCAATGTGAGGCCCTAGTTTTAGCTAGATATTTCATCAAATGGGGAGGATGTTGATGTGAGACGCCGTAGTAATGTGGATTAATTAACTTCCGGCAACCCTTCCAATGTAGATGTACCATCAGGTATTTGCTCTTATTACAAATTTAGAGTTATCTCGATTATTCGTTGATGTATACATTTTTTATGGTTTAAACTCCTTTGTAGCTGATTGTGGTACGGCGATGCATGATGTTACAGTTGATATCGGTATTGAGTGCGTGAGAAGTATTTATTATACTGTTGTATATGTCTTACTAGTGATTTGTCTGTTAACATGGTTCTATTGACATGATTTGCAATTGATGTTGAAAAAATTCATTGTAGATGATATCAATTTGAAGGAGCAATTGGTTTGTGACAATGGTCAGTGTATTTATATAACTTTACTTCGTAGTGCACTGATATTGACGTAGAACGACGTGATTATATACCAGTCCTTCAAATATTAGGTGAAGCGAAATGTGGTCGCATGATTTGGCTCTGAATACACCAATTAATGAGGAACTTGTTGACTTGTGGGCTTGTATCATGAACTATAACGATAATTTCAAGAGCCATGAATCAGCAACGTGTTTCTTTTCATATACGTCTTCGTGCAACGAGGTATGTCCAATTTTATTTATGTGAATTACGAATGTAATTACGATCCTTGACCATATATTCATTGACGTGATACTTATGATAAACAATTTACACATCTCAGCTGTTTTTCAAGGGAAAAAGAAAGAAGGATATAAGCTACAAGAAGTTTGTGGATAAACTCATAGCAGATGTCAGTCGGATGTACGGCTATAACATGAAGAAAATTTCATTAGTAAGATTACTGTTTTGGTGGTAATTTGAAGTCGAGTGTTTTGGTACTTGATTGTAATGAAATGTTTTGCGTTATAACTGGTTTTACATGGTTTGTTTTGTAGTGCTTATTTTCTGTGCATTCCGATCGTTTCAGTGGGTTGATGTGTATTGTTTTGGAATCTCAGAAGTTCTCCGTTCTAGATAGTGCAGGCACGTGTAAAGACGACGCAATCAAGAAAATTGTCTTGGCACGTGCTGGGATTTTGGTAAGATCCTTCTTTTGTACTAATGTAAGTGTATTAAGAATTTGAATTTTTTTTATTTGTGGTCTGTTTTTTATGTTTTTGTATTATTCTAATATTGTTTGTATTATATGTGGCAACAACCATTTGCATAGTATCTCGGACATTTGAATATGGTGATGTTTTCAAAAGCTGCTGCACTTTCAATCCCGAAGGTTGTTGATTTGATGTGGACTAAAGACATTGATGACGTAAATGCCGGTGGTATAACATTGCATCACATGGAGACATTCAAAGGATGCGGTACGACAAACTGGAATCCACATACGAATAGGGCCGACAAGGGGCAAATGAACCTTATGGGAAAACGGTGTTGCTATGTGATAGCGTGTGCGCCAAACAATGAGATGAAACATGTCAACCTCATTGAAGCAAAGAGGTTCCATCCTATATACGCGGGAAGAAATCACGGGCTATTTCGTAACATGTTGGATTGCACTGTTTGGACGAATTAGATATTATTTTGTTGCATGTTTATTACTGTTTTTGAACAGTTGTGTATGTGTAAGTACATCTAATGGTACGTTTATGACTGTTTTTGAACATATGTTGGTACGTTTAAAGTGCAGTGAAGTTATGCAAAAATTGCAATGGATTCTTGTGAATTGTTCATACACATGTGAATTGGAGATATCATTCACAACGATAAAACGAGTCGTTGTATGGTGGCTGTATTGGTGCATTGTCTAGACCGAGTATACATGTTTTTTTGACGCGTCTAGCGTTAGAAAAGATATATTAGTTTGTGAAAATATATTTTCATGAACGTGTATTTCAGTACACGTTTTGACATATTTTTGTGGTTTTTGTCTTATGTTATGGTGTCTCGCATCGAGACGACTTGTGATGAAATGAGGTGAAATTGTATATAAAGAGTAGTGTAACGTTGTATAAGATGCAACATTGTAGCGTGTATTGTGAGTGCTGCATGATATGATGTGGTGTTATCACTATTACTATTATTATTTTATTATTTGTATTTTTATTTTTTGACACAATGTATGTTCATGTTGGTTATATCATTGAGGTGCAATTAAATTTGAAGAAAAGCACAACATGATGTACACTGATGTGCCTTATGCATTTCTTGTTTGTGTTCGGCATTCATCCATCGAGACTACATGTAATCTAAAATGCTACAACTTTTGTTGGTCAATAACAATATAAAACTGAATAACATTATAATGTTTGTCATTGAATTAATGGTAATGTTCGATAACATAACATAATGCACTATTGTCAATCTTTCAACACAACATCCGGCTGTAGCATGTGTTCTGTGATAATTCCCATCAATTTTGATTCCACACCCAGTGTCTGTAAATGAAAGTTAGTATATGTTAATATCCATATATCACGTTTGATATGTATGATAACATTGCATGTTATTGTGCACACATTGAATAAACATTACAATTGCAACATAACAGGTATGTATGCGAGAATATCTTAATGTACATAATGGATTCTTAAGCCAGGAAACCTTAAGGTGCATAATAGTCCAATAATTGCCACAATGATATGTGAACAGATGCTTTATACACCTACGGTTTATTGGTCCACGCACGTGTGTTAGACTAGCTCCTTCGCCACATGACTTGCAAACCCTTCGCTTCTTTTGTGACTTTTCAATTGCCTTTTTTTTCACTCTTTAGTCGTTTACCGCTGCCCTTTTTATTTTAGTGTGTCGGAGTGTGAATGGTTACTTCTTGAGACGCGGCCATGCCAACAAAAGACTCAAACTGATGCGCTTTATTAACAATGGTTGTGTCCCCGTCTTGATCAGACATTAGGTTAATCTTGTGTGCTTTGATGATCTTGAAAAATTCAGTAAGTCAGTTAACACAAGGCTCAGCTAATCCCATGCATATATGTATATCCAACCACAACTTGTTCATCAGGAGCTTTTTATCGTCAATTTTGGTGCATTGAGAAGACGCGTCATTGAGAACATGGAACATGAGATTAATAATATCCATTTTAATCCATCTTGATAGGATATGTGCATGTGGTATAGATTGCAAGTTCAGGCCATTGAGTACATCAAACATGTGGTTACACAACCATCCGTACAATTCAACATGCTTGCATGAACACATAGATGTATTCAGAACGATATCGTGAATAACAGTGAAAGTTTTTCCATCTGTGTCTCTAATAACAATGTCCATCATATTCAGATAAGTTCATTACGCGGCAACTGAAACACGTTGCGCATATCTCAGACTGTACACGGTAGAACAACGACGTTTTCTAAACAAGCATTGTGTGTTTCTCAATCGACAGAGGTGTCATCAATGCAGCTTGTCAGGATTCACTAACATTGTGTAGCTTAATCGATGTGTTTAGTTGTGCGTCCATTGCACTGTCAAAATATAATAAGAATTCGACTAGGCTGGAATGACTATTTGTGAAATTACCAAACCAATGGTTCTCACTTTAAGACTTAGATGTAATCCTCATTAAGCCGCTCATTCTAACATTCATGAATAAAGCCGAAATCCAATATTATGTTTTTGCAACGAATCAATGAACCAGTTGTGTGTATTCAACATATAATCAATTATGATAGATGCCCATTTAGATTCAAACTCAACAGGCTCTATATTTCTATCCCATACAATTTCATTAAGCCTTCGTTTGAATTCAAACACACACACAGACGCACGCACTTCCCAGCGACAGCTTGCTCGGCGTCGTCGTCACCCAACTCCGGCGCCGACGTTACCCAGCTCTGGAACCGTCGTCACCCAGCTCCGGCGCCGTCGTCACCACTCTCCGGCGCCGTTGCCAATACCTAGATCCCGGTCTACTTCGCCGTCAGCGTTGAGAGCGCTCCGTCCGAGGATACGACGTCGCTGCCACACCGCATCCGACGCCGGTGGAGTTGTTTCGCTGATATCCCTTACCATTGGTGTCCTCCCCGTCCCCGTCTGGTTCTCCGCCACCTTCGAACGTCGCACCTGCTCCCCAGGCCAACGACAGCGTCGTGAATAAGGTGGGTCTACGGCTCGTCAGGCGGCAAGCACGTCGGCCATGGTGGTCGGACATGAAACTCCAGTCAACTCCAACCATGGTAGACACCGGTTTACTCCGGCCTGAACGTCGGCGGAACATGGAGGCATTGGTTGGCAGCTCTCCCTGAACAGCGGACGCATGGGTAGCGGTGGAAAAGGCCTGAATCTGAAATTTGCATATGGGCTTAAGTTTGGAAATTAGATTATTTCAAGAGTCTTATATGCAATTTTATGAATTTTAGTTATAGTACAATTGAGTACGTGGGTTAAATCTGCAAATTATGAAAACTTTAGTAAAGGCACCTTAATTATAATAAAGAGTATAATTAATGTGCGGATATGCACATTAGTATTTTATTAAATACACATTAGTGCATTTAAGAATGCACAATAGCATTAAAAATATACTTAATAAAAAATATGAGATGTATTTTTTTTAAATAAATAATTTGATAAATGTAAAACAATGTTAATTAAAATACACATTATTAAGGTTTTTTTTTAAAAAATTTAAATGCACATAAAAAATACATCATCAATAGATTGCACAATAATAATATATGAGATGCACATTATTGTATGTATGAAAACACATTACTGATTTTGATATTTTATATATTATGGCTTTTTAATAAAAATAATATAAAATATAAATACAAATATTAAATATTTTGTCTAATATAAATAATAAATAATTTCTATTATTTAGGTTAATTCGGTTTAATTGATCGAATAAACCAAATAAATCGTTTTGATTTTGGTTTGGGTTGGAACAAATAAACAATTGTGTGCACTACATTTGCATAAAATAATGTATAATACATTGCACAATACTTACTATCAGATTATACGTTGGATCCCGAAACCACCAAGCTCAAATTTCGGTTCGCTTATCTATTTTTACTTTAAAATGCATATCTAAACACAAATATTGCTCAATTCACTTTCAACATTGCATATTTATTAAAATATTAATAAATTCATATAGATATGATAATATATTTTAAATTGCATATATTTAAAAAAAAATATTTTATTGTATATATATATTGTGTATTTATCGGAAACTAATATACAATATTAAACATATAATATTAAAATATTAAATAAACATGTTTTTATAATATAAGTATTAAATTAAACTTATACTATTAAAATCATTAAATGAGCATATTAAATATTAAATATGTTTTATATAATATTCGTATTAAACTATTTTAAATATTTAGGTTAATTTTAACTAAGCTAATAATATATAAATTATATAACAAAAATAATAAATAAAAGATATTTTAATTCTTTAGGTTAATTCGGTATTATATCTATTAAAACTAGTTTTCAAATACACATAATTTATATTGTAATGTATAAATTAGCTAGTGCACTTTATATATCGGAATGTCGCACTTAATAAAATAACATGTTGCACTTTATAGGACAATACGTTGCACCTCATCGCACACCTATCAACAAAAAAACGCAAGCATGCTAACGTACCAAAATTAATACGTTGAACTTTATACAGTAATACGTTGCACTTTATAACACAACACGTTGCAACGTATAAAACAACACGCTGCATGTACAAAAATATACAGTAATTCTGCTAATCGATCGAATAAAATATTTGTCGGCTAAATGTCAGATATAGTCATTTTAAATAAATATAAAACTGAACATGCCAAACTATATGAAAAATGTTGCCAATTTTTTTATATATAGTTTCTTTGTGAAAATAATACTATTTTTATCTAATTTTTTTGTATGTAGTGCGAGTGCACATTATGGTTATACGAATTGCACATAAATGACTAGCAGGTTGCACATAATCGAATGAGAGCCAACAAACATAAATTCGGTATTATTATTATTATTATTATTAAACTGCGATTGCACAATAGTACTAGACAGGTTGCACATAAATGACTATTATATTGCACATTAGCGATCGAAACCGTCCAAACTAAAATCTTCGATTCATAAATGTAAATTTTGCCCGATTATCTATTATTTACTTTCAATTTCAAAATACTAACTACAATGTTATAAATAATATATATACATAATGTAGTTTGTATCGACTATTTTGGTTAAATCGTTTAACTGACCGGCTAAATCATTCATTTATGTTTGATTTTAATTTAGAGTGTGATAAAAAATTAGTATCGGTTCAATTAATGTATGTTATACTGCATATTAAAAACCAAAGTCGTGCACGATAGTTAGATAAAAATTCACATTAATGTCTCACAATCTGTAGCACGCAGTAATCAAAACTGAACGAAATAAAATTTATGGTTCGAAACTTTATATGTCGGTTTGATTGTCGTTTTATACTTTAAAATTTTTGGTTATTATCGTTCAATGTCGGACTTTTTTTACATTTTCTTATCAATATTTTATATTTGTTAGATTTTTAATAATATATAAATACATATTTAAACCATTAAGTAATTTGTATTATAATTAAAGTTTTTTAAAGGAATGAAAATTGTTAAAATAGTTCATTTATCCCCAAATCTAGTTCATCTTCCCAAATCGATTTCACGATCAGCAAGAACACAGGAAATTCTCGGCGACATCTCACTTCAAATCGCCGCCGGCGTCTATGGCCAGCGTGGCGGATTGTTCGTTTGCCGGAGGTGTTCGATTGACGATACACAAAGAGATGGACGGCGCCTATGGCAATTGCTTGAACTTGGACACCGAAATCTATGGCGGCACACATAGAGGAGATGGACGGCGCTGACGGCATCCAAGACGAAGATTGACGACGACGCTGGTGTTGGATTGAGAGGCTAGATGGCGGAGGTGATAATTGCAGACAGTGGCTGTGCGGCAGTGATGTGGCTTTGCGGCTGCGGGTGTGTTCGCGGTTGCGGCAGGGCTGGTGGAGGTTGGCGTCGATGGCGGGGCTGGTGGTGTTTCGAGTCGGTGGCGGGGCTGGTGGTGGTTGGGGGCGGATCTTGTGGTGGTTATGGGCAGGTGGTAGCGCAAAACAATCCGACCGGCTTGAAATCGGCTTGTCTTCCTCCTCCTTGCCGGTAGAACGCCGCGTAGCTGCAAAGAACTCTCACACCGGAGGGGTTTTCCGATGAAGAGCCTCTGATGCTTAAGTCAATATGTGTTTCACTCAATTCTCAAGAGTAAAATTGATAAATCGTGTGTAACAAGAAAGGCTCACCCCTTTATATATAGGAGTGAAATACCTGCCCTAGAAGCTGCCTGGATTTGTTGAGCTGTCTGCCCAACGCATCTCGGATCTGCCCGTCCTACACACACAATGTGTGTGTGTCAGAGGTGGTTATCGCCACTATCGCTCTGGACCAATATATTCCCTCTACATGTCCTCTGAACATGGGGTAATTATTCTCTTCAATATTCCTTTGGGATTCCCGAAGAAGTCCACGCGCTTCCTCGCGTCCAGATCACGCGCTCGATTGCTCTTCACTCACAGGGTGGTCGATCAGATGAACTCTCCTTTAGTAGGTCGATCTTCGACAAGATCTGCCACAATGTCACTTTCCTTCAACCTATTATTGCTCTACCAGCATGGTATCTCCGATATTGGACTCGTACGACTGGCGTACTGAACCGGTTTACTCCTTCAAGTACATAATATCCCAGCACAGTTTTCATCCGATTGCATCCGTTTGATTCATTTTTCGATCTTATCTTGTTCGTGCAATCCCGAGACATGATTTGCAGTCATCCGTTCGTGCCAACAGATCTACCTAAATTTTAAGCCGTAAGTTCTCTACGTCAAACCTTTAGATCCGTTGCGCATAGGTTTAAGTTTGCTATTGAATTCGTGACTTGTACATAACGAGATTCTCACAGATCCCAACAACTGGTATCAGAGCACTTTGTTAATTCGTTTTGTACAAATTTTGAATTCTTATGGCTTTATTTAACATGATGTGTTCAAACACAGCCATATATTGGATTATATTTGCATAACTCGGTTTTGCAGGAAAATAGTTAATCTACTATTATGGCTGATTATATGTTTGATGAATGTTGTTAAATGTGATATATGGTTTTAAATTTGTTTTTAAAACCTCGAACATGTCGAGGAATTGATGGATGAATATTTGTAATAATTATTCGCCCGGGGGTTGACCGGGTAGATTTATTTATTTGTTTAGAAAACATGTACATCCATTCGTTGGATCTAGGATCAAATTATGTAATTTTGTAAATTATATTTTTCGTGTTGTGATCGTTTGTTGATGACCGGGTGATCACAAGAGATCAACGAGCCTCGAAGAAGAAGAAGAAAAAAAAAAAGGATCGGCGTGTTTTTTCCAGCCAAACCGGCGGCGAATAGTGGCGGCGACCGGTGGCTCGTGGTGGTGGCTGGTGCATTTTGTCTTGATGTCCAAGCAGTACAATATCAACCAGGATTCTACTGCTAAAGGAGTTCCAGTTGAACAGTGAAAGAACTGTCACAGTTTCCTTGTTTAAGGAGACTCAATATTTAATGGCCATAATAGTGGATTTATATATTTATTTAAATTTATTATGCTATTAAATTATTATTTATACATGTTAATTATTATGTTCTTGCATGGGATTAATTTAGTATTGCAAGATTAATTATGCATGTTAATTAATTATGTAATGCATAGGATTAATTTAGAATTGTGTCAATAAATTATGCATGTAACTAATTATTGCACTGGCATGGATTAATTTAGAATTGCATAAATTATTGTACATGTTAATTAATTATTGCATTGACATAGATTAATTTAGAATTGTATGAACTAATATGCATGTTAATTAATTATTGCATTAACATAGATTAATTTGGAATTGCATAAATAGTTAAAAATCCTCATTAAATTATACTAAGTTTGAGAAGGGATTTTAAATTAAAGTTAATTGTAAAATTCCTAAGGCCTTCATTTCTAATTTGTCGGTAAATCAATTAAGTTGCGGTAATGCGCTCCCCCTCGGGTGACATTGCTAAAATTTAATTGTAGGTAATTACCAGGACAAATTTCTAATTAGACGGTTAGAGAAAATCTTATGAGAGCGTACGGGCTTACCCTCAGATGACATATAATCAAAATTTGACGACTTTGGGACCGAGAAATGGGATTCACTTAGAATGCGATTAAATTTATTAACCCCCCTCGGGGTCCCTGAATTCTATTGCATGGCCAAATGGAGACCGACTATTAATTTTGTTCGTCATGAATTTGGTTTTGACTTATGGAAATTAATGGGCCCTTGAAAAGTCCTTCTCTTACAAAATGCGAGTTCGTAGGGCGACCCTCGTAGCATGCATTCTCACAAGGTGTAATAGATGTCGGTGAGTTTAAGTTAATGTTGTTTTGAGGATATCAATATTAGCAGTTAAATTCAAAAGTGTTTAATCTGTAAAATGTACTTGCATGATTCTCAGGATAGTCATCATGTCATTCAATCAGTTGTCTGTCTTTCTTAAAGAAAATCAGCATACTGGTCCTAATAACACTGATTGGAAGAGGAACTTAGACATAGTGTTGACTGCTGAGGGTTATAAGTTTGCCATCAATGAGGCATGCTCGGCAGTGCCGACGGCTGATGCTCCTGAGCAAGAGAAAGAGGAGTATGCTCGGTGGAAGAAGGCTGATGCGATGGCAAAGTGTTACATTATGGCTTGTATGTCGAAAGTTCTTCAACATCAGCATCATTCTATGGACACTGCAGCAGATATACTGCTCAATCTCAGGAATCTGTTTGGACATCAGTCTCGGGCTGCTAGGCAAGAGGCTTTGAGTGCTTTGATGAGTACGCGCATGGCCGAGGGCACACCCATTAGGGAGCATGCCCTCAGGGTTATAGCGCAGCTGAATGAGCTTGAGGCTATGGGAGGTTTTATTGACGAGGAAACCCTAGTTGATATTATGCTTCAATATCTGCCGAAGAGCTTTGATCAGTTCTGGTTGAACTACAACATGCACAAGATGCTTATGGCTCTTCCAGAACTACTTGCAGAGCTTCAGTCGGCGGAGGCCTTATTCACTCAAGCACCTCAGGTGCTAGTCGCCGAGCAGGCTGGACCTTCCAGGCCTCACAAGGGCAGGAAGAGAAAGAAGTCTGCAAGAAAGGCGAAGGCACAGGATGCTCTGGTTTTCCAAAGACCGGCCCCTCAAGGTGTGGCAAAGAAACCGAAAGGAAGATGCCACAAGTGCAACAAGTCAGGACACTAGAAGGTCAACTGCCCTCTCCTCAAAAAAGGTAACTCTCTCGTTAATGTCGTAGAAACATGTTAGCGGTTGTATCTACCAGAACCCGGTGTGTAGATACTGGACCCACTGATCATGTCTGCATTTCTTTGCAGGGGTTCCAGGAAACCAAGCGGCTTAGGGAGGGAGAGATCATCGTCTACATGGGCAATGCTACGAAAGTGGCGGCTGCTGCAGTGGGAGACGTTACTTTATCGTTTGATAATAGTAGTTTGGTTTTGAGAAATTGCCTTTATGCTCCTAGTTTTAGAAAGAATCTTGTTTTAGTTTCTAAACTCGTTATGGATGGTTTTTCAATTTCGTTTGATGACATGGTTACTGTTCGTTTTGGAAATCGTTTCATATGTTGTGGTTCATTAGTTGGCAACTTATATGTGCTCAAACCAAACTCTCACACAGTACAACAAAATGAATTGAATAATATCATAACTATATCTAATAAGAGGAAGAAGTCTTCGCAGATGAATCAAGCATATCTGTGGCAACTTCGGCACATCAACCTAAGGAGCACTATCCAACTTGCGAATCCTGCCTAGAAGCTAAGATGGCCAAGAGGCCGTTTACGGCAAAGGGGTATAGGAGCCAAGAAGTGCTAGGACTGATTCATTCTTATTTGTGTGGTCCAATGTTGATCCAAGCTAGAGGAGGTTTCTAGTATTATGTGTCTTTTATAGATGATTACTCGAGATTCGGGTACGTTTACCTATTGCACCGCAAGTCTGAATGCTTTGAGAAATTCAAGGAGTATCGGGCAGTTTGTGAGAAGCCTCGTGGTAAAAGTATCAAGTCACTTCGTTCTGATCGAGGTGGCGAATACCTCTTTGGAGAGATCAGGACATACTTATCGGAAGCTGGGATTAAATCCCAACTGACTGCACCCGGCACGCCCCAGCAGAATGGGGTTGCAGAGCGAAGAAATAGGACTCTTATGAAGATGTTTAGGTCTATGATGAGTTATTCGAGGTTACCAGATTCGTTCTAGGGTTTGGCATTGGAACCAACATCGTATATTCTGAACATGGTTCCATCGAAATCAGTTGACACTACTCCTTATGAGATGTGGAAAGGGCGTTAGCCCAGTTTCGAACAGTTTCGAGTTTAGGGTAGTCCTGCACACGTGTTAGTGCAGAAACCTGGCAAATTAAAGAAACGTTCGGAAGCACGAGTTTTCGTAGGCTATCCCAAGGGAACGAAAGGTGGATTATTTTATAGTCATGAGGATCAGAAGGTGATCGTTTCGATGAACGCTAGATTCTTGAAAGAAGACTATATTATGAATCATAAGCCCGCTAGTAGACTAGTCTTAGAGGAGTTAAGGGGTGAAGTTGATAGTTCCCCTCCGAGTGCGCAAGTAGATACATCACGTAATACTGCAACACGGCACACTGAGAGTGTACCAGTGCAGACAATGCCTCGTCGCAGTGGGAGGGTTTTTCATTTACCCGACCGAAGGATAGGTCTTGGAGAGTCATCGGACTCTGTTCCAAAGAGGCCTAGAATTGGACCCAAGAACTTACGATGAGGCACTCCAAGATAAAGATGCATGTTCATGGAATGTTGCAATGAAAGCTGAAATGGGGTCACTGGACTCCAATAAGGTCTGGAATCTTATAGAACCACCCGATGGGGTACGACCCATTGGATGTAATTGTATCTACAAGAGAAAAAGAGGATCG